AAACAACACCTTGGACATGACCAAGTGTCTGTACAGCCATTATTAAAAATAAAATTAGTATTGTCTTGGGAACTGTCAAGATGTATTTATTTATCACATTAACCCTAATTGACCCCTAAATCGCTAAGATAAACTAGACAAGAAACCATATACAACAACCAATAAGTATAAAAGTCCATAAACTAATGAAAACTTAGAATAAAATAAAATTAACCAAACCAAACTATAATCAAACTAACATAGAATCAAGACCAATCTTCAAGAAAGGGTTTTTTTTAGTATTCTGGAAGGCAGTCACGGTGGGAGACAACTAGATGTCCACTGGGAAGCCATTCCAAAAACCAGCACCACCAACAGCAAAGAACAGTGCTGCAAAGATTCCCCCTATCCTAAAGTGGGGCACCGCTACTAGTTTCTCCCAGATAGATTGAACAGGCCGAGTCGATTCCAATGGGAGAATCTAATCCTGCAGATAAAAAGGTGCTAAGTGATGTAGGGCTTTATAGGTTAGCCCAGCACTTTAGTGGAACAACTAGGTCCAACCTACCAATCAAACACAAAGGTCTTTCAACATTTTTTAAACACTATCAGATCCATAGACATAAAGGGAACAAGGCAGCTGATTGCAGACTTGCAGGGCCAGAAATTGGAGACTGCAACACTGGAGCAAGGAACCAAAAAAGGCCCTGCTCAGAGGAACTTAAGGAAGAAACAAGATTGTAAGGGAAAATAAATAAGAACAGACAGATACTGAGCAGTTTATGACCAGAGGGCTCTCTTTACAAGCACAAGTTAGCACTATCCTAGCTATGTCCTGTTTAATTATTTGTGTGTAGCTAATTCCCCCTTTCCCCCAGCATATCCACTGCTTAATTTTACAAGTGATAAATCACTTTATCCCTTGCTTCAAAATAGCATTTTAAACATCCTTTTCCAAGATAGGTGAATATAATGTCTAAACCGAGCAGTGCACAGAGAAATTCCTCCTGACATTAAACAGCAACAGTACAGATTTTCTTTCTTTCTTTATTGTGGTCATAAATCCAAGCTAGCAACCAAAAACTGAGCAGTTTATCAAACACATATGTTACAACCAAACCCCTTATAATATAGACATACAAATATTAGCAATACAAAACTAAAGCACTGTAAGGGGAGATAAAATACGAAGTATGATATTCAGTTAAAAAAAAGTTTTGTGTCATTCATCAGCAAAGATGACTGTCCTGTACAATGTTACAGGTGCTACCAAACATTCAAAGAGACTCCATCCACATTACTGTTTTTAAATAGAAGTGTCAAATACCAGTCAGACATTCTTCCAGGATACATGATTAATAAGAGAATTATAAATCAATATTTCACATCCCCATAGCAATCACAGAAGAATAAGATATAAATTGGAAGTCAACAGCAGCTTCCCAACATGAACAAAACTAATTCCCATGCGAGATGCCTTTCAAGTAGCACTTTAAGCAATAGGCCAGCAGAAAAGAATTAAATCTAGTCCTAGAACAAAACAAAATGATTGCTATATATTAAATGTTTGTCTTGGTGTTATTATGAACTCAGTTAAAAGGTTCACTCTATTTTGTATTGTAGCACCTACCTATTTATGGTTTCATTTGTTTCACTATTTAAATTTAAAAACCTATAACAGTAACAATATGGGGATCCTCCAGAATTTTTAGAATAGCTAAACATAAACAATATTGTGACTGATTTTGCACTGAGGAATTTCCAGCAGTGTTACCAAAGGCAACCTCCTTTTGTATGAGAAGTTACAATGTCGTGATCCTGGATGGTCAGAACTTTTGCTATATAAACATTTGCTAAAAACAAGGTGGGAGAAGCAGGCATGCAAGCTGCAGTCCTCACACTCTCTGATATGGGCTCATAAACAGGCCTTCTCTCAGTGTCCCCATGTGTTCAGCTGTTCACAAACAAGTGAAAATCTGAAAAAGGGATTGTAAATACACTCGGTAGAACCCACTCATAACACCCGCTGCAATCAGGACCCTGCCTTATGACATGGCAGTACATTGAATTTTGTTTTATCTGGTGATTCTTTTGGCCTTTTCAATTCTTGAAAACATTAGAAAAGTATTCCTTAGATATACATACTTCTGTTTTGTCAGCATTTAACAACTTATATAGATTCTTAGATACATTGATGTTTAAGCATATTAAGTATTGGTCATCGTTGCAAATACAAAAGAACATTTTCAGTACTTTGACTTTCTACCCTCACACTAGAAAGAAAGAAGGAAATGAGGATTAAAAAATGCCTTGGAACAATATGAGAACTCCAATTGGAAACCAGAGCAAATATTGACTTGCTTACTTGCTATTTACGCATCTGCCTATGCATTTATCTTCCCTGTAATAACACATGTGCATTGACATCCAGAATTATTGTTTTCCTTTCCACTGTCTGAAATATTTCTAAAGCATATTTGGAAGAGAGATTCACAGCTAATGTGCAAGGAGAGCCTAAAGCAAGCAATTTAATGGTTGTGTGGCAAAGCGATAGGAATTGCCTTCCCAAGTAATTGTGGGTTTCATTTGTTAATATATGTCTTACTGTAAGTAGATGCTTTTTAATGAATATGTTTACAGTTCACTAATATTGTCGGAAAAGTAATATAACTATAATTTAAGCTTTCATATCAGCTATTTAAGATTCGTAGCTGGTTGAGGTTCCAAAGGGGCATGACACTATTTCCACATTCTGCCAATGAACGTGTTGGGAGGAGAGTTGACATTCCAAATGTGGGTAAGAATAAAGCCAAAAGTCAGAAACTGAGTAGAATAGGGCATACACATGGGTGCACACACACACACACAC